ATAAAAAAATATAAAAAATTAAACATTAATATTTAAAAAAAATTCCCAATATATAAAAAATAAAAAAATTTCTAATCCCCTCACTATTTTTCTAATACTGTCTCCACCTCCTCCATCTCAATCCCCCTTCCAACCTCCATCTATATCACCTCCTTCACCCTAATCCCCTCCCTAACTCTACAAACAAACACAACACTAAATAATCCAACCTCCATCCTAATCCCCTCCCATCTATTTAACCCCAAAACAAACGGGGCCTCAGTGACAAGCTCTACCTCATTGCGTGTTGGGCATTGTCCAAGTTACTTGAACCTATAACAGATCTAGTGGACGTCAGTTGGAACTCGATAAGGCACAGTGAGGTAGTGGATTATGTTTCCTTAAAGGTAGATATGTTGGTTGATGAGGCACTCGTATCATATGGTAATTTGACTTTCCTTTTCTTGTGACAAGTTTCTCCTACATTTGTATTTTGTTATGCTACGGTGCTTGTTATAGAGTTGCATGTTCTGTCTTCAGATTCTATTCATAAAGAGAAGCAACATGCAAACGGGAACAAATGCAACCAGAAATATTCGAACCCAAGACCTTCACTAACTTGAACTCCTATGATATTATGTTAGATCACTAATTGCCATGTGTATGTGAGAGAGGGTGTTGAATAACTTGATATACATTGTTGGCCTTATTTCTTAACAATTTTAATTTTTGGGACTTAGTGATGATCTAGCAATAATGAGATGTAGTAAGCGATGCTGTTTTTGTGTGCTGAGTGTTGCTGCTTGTTGTGATGGTTTACTAACTAGGATCTACAAAATGGTAAACTGCAAGTCTGTGAGAAGGGGGAGAAAGACATATTACTCGGATGCTTCATGTTTATATGATATTTGAAGAAGATCAAGCTCACATTTGTGCAAAAAAACATTTCTACTTTCTCACACAAATGGGAGATAAATTTCATTTTTTTTCTCTAAATCTCATTTAATTTGAAGTACATTTCTAAATAATTCATTACATCTTATCTAAGAATATTATATGATAGACAATATATATATTAGTGTTTGAGACGTGTCCCTATATCTATATGGGCATACCTAACTTTTGGATACATATCTCAAGCCTCGTTTGGCATGCAACACTTTTAGTCTAAAAGTCAAAAAGTTATTAAAAAAATCAAAAAGCCTATAACTTATATCAAAAAGTCAAAGATTCATTTTTCTCTCTACTTTTTACATATCTTTTCGTAAAAAATCAAAAAGTTATTCCAAACATACTAATTTTTTTTACCTTATATTTTAGCTAAAAAATCAAAAAGTTACTAAAATAGCCTATTTCCAAACAAGGCCTCAATATCCAAAAATTTAGGTTTAGAAAAATCTGACACTCGGACCCACAACCACACTCAATATTTTTACCCGAGTCCATGTAACATAGATTGCACCCCTAATCTTATATGTATGGGTGGCCTGCACTTGATTATTTGTTGAATTTTGTTAGATTCTTTGAACTTGTAGAGTGGATAGGCCTTCTTTTGTTTTTAATGTATAGGTCTCTTGTTTTCTTTTTATTTTTTGTATTGTGATTACACTTCTGTAACCCTCGCCTCCTTTTGTACTTAGGTATAATCCCTCTTACTTGGTAGTCCCATCGTCCCAATTTGGTAGTTCCTTTTGGGAGTTCTAACTTTTTAAGGGAACGTGCAATTATTGCACTTTAATTCAAATTTCAAAGCACTAATACTATAATATCCTTTAATTGTCATTTTTAAATATATTTAAAGCCACTTTTAAGCGATAGTTTTGGAAAACTACACGTTTATTTACTTTGTTTTTAGATAGGACTAACATTTTGGAACATCCCAAAATGGGAAGATGGACTAACAAAATGGGACAGAGTGGTTATAATAGAAGGGAAAGGTGCTATGGGCTTAGTTTTTACTGGTACGTGGGTGTTATTTAGAATCACTTTGGGCTGTTAGGAGAGTGCTTCACATGCTCTTTTATTTTGGTGTAAGGCCCCGTTTGTTTTCAGAGGTAGAATGGAGGGGATTCATAATGAGGAAATTAATAGTGAGGGGATTGTTAGTGAGGAGATTAAGTAAAATTGTATTTGTTTTGTTGATAGTTGTTAGTTTAGGAATTATTAAATTATTTTTATATAAAATAATAAAACAAATAAAAAAATATAAAAAATTAAACATTAATATTTAAAAAAAATTCCCAATATATAAAAAATAAAAAAAGTTCTAATCCCCTCACTATTTTTCTAATACTGTCTCCACCTCCTCCATCTCAATCCCCCTTCCAACCTCCATCTATATCACCTCCTTCACCCTAATCCCCTCCCTAACTCTACAAACAAACACAACACTAAATAATCCAACCTCCATCCTAATCCCCTCCCATCTATTTAACCCCAAAACAAACGGGGCCTCAGTGACATGATAGGTCAAATTGCGTGTTGGGCATTGTCCAAGTTACTTGAACCTATAAGAGATCTAGTGGACGTCAGTTGGAACTCAATAAGGCACAGTGAGGTAGTGGATTATGTTTCCTTAAAGGTAGATATGTTGGTTGATGAGGCACTCGTATCATATGGTAATTTGACTTTCCTTTTCTTGTGACAAGTTTCTCCTACATTTGTATTTTGTTATGCTACGGCGCTTGTTATAGAGTTGCATGTTCTGTCTTCAGATTCTATTCTGCATGGTCTAAACTCACTGTTGTTGAGGTTACCCGTTTGGCAAGTTGGGTTGGGGCTAAAATAGCCAATAAGCCAAAACACCTAATCACATCACTCTCTACTTTTCTGCACATCTTTTCATAAAAAGTCAAAAAATCAATTAAAATTGCCTATTCCCAAAGACTGTTGGGGCAACAGAATTTGATATTCACATCTAAATTCATCTTATATCTGTTAAATATTCTTCTTCTTCTATTGGAAAAGACTAACCTTCTTTGTTCATCAATTTGGAAGTTCAACTTCTTGTCAAATTGTGAAACTCATTGCATGACCTTCTTGTGTAAGCATTAATGGTCTTGAGAAACAGTGAGGCTGTGAGAAATCCTTACTTCCAATGTTGCCCACAAAAAGTCAGAGTCAAGGTTTAAGCTGCTATTGATCTCAACTGTGATTGGAAAAAAGCTCAATTTGTATTGCAATGGAAAGCTTTGCATAGAAATGAAATCAATTTTTTTTTTCAAAAAAAAAAAACTTCGTAGGTTTAATAGTTTAACCAAACTTGGTGAGATGTCCTGTATGTGTGCAATTCTTGCTTACATGGGGTCTTTTTCTTTTTCTATCATCATCTATATGCATCATAATTTCAAGTTGGATTTTCCATTGGTACTTGCATTTGTTTCTTTTTGGTAAGTTATCATATAGGAAAGTGTTTTGATGGCCAAGTAGGAGTAGTAAGATTTGAGTGATGGTGCAACCAGAATAAGGGAAAAGCGAGAAAGGTTGTTCAACATTATAGAGAAACCAAGATTGCTAAAACTAAGTTTGATCATTTATGTCGAATCTCAAGTAGTTGGAATTGAAGACCCGGTTTGCTTGAGTTTAACCTGTAAGTGGATGTCTATACACAAAATACTCTCATCATGTACTGTGTATAAGCTGGTGTTCATTCAGCTCCTTATCTTTTGTTTTGTTCATCTTATGTTTTGAAGTATCATACTACACGCCTTGGTTACTGACTAATTTCATGCTTGACCTGGTCAACAAAATAATATTATATAATATTTAGTCTTGGCTTTGTTACCCTTATCTACCTTTGAATAAATCTTCTCCCCCTGCACCCACTCCTCCCAATTTTAATGTTGTGCATAAAAACATTTGAAACATTATTAATTTTTGGAATTCACGTGGTATTTCCTTTTAAATTATGCAAATTTAGCAGTGTTATTCTCATCACAGGAAAATCGTCTTATTTTGTAGCCCCTTCTCATTTCTTTTGGGTATATAAGCCATTAATTGGTAACATGCATGATATTGCTCTTGGCACCGACTTGCTTTCCAAGGGAGATAATTGAATCACTTCATTGGTGAAATCATTAGTATTTTAATCCTTTGATAAACGATTGACATTTAATTAATCCAATTTTATGATATTTACCTCTTTTACTTGGTCTATCTTTGAGGGTATTCCCAAATTTATTTCCTCTTTTCCCACTTGATGTTTTCTTAGTTTACAATTATCTGAAATGTCCTGTCAGAGCTTCATTGAGCGTATATATGATTCACTACCTAACCAGAGTTTAAAAATATATGATATACTAGCTGATCACCTGGATGGTAATGCCATGTTGATCCACCAAAGAGGTAAAGAAAAATATGAAAAACCATCGACTTATGTTTAGCATTTCTTGTACGCAGAGAGACACAACTGGATTGACTACTGAGAACAAGGAACTCAAACTGCGGTTACAGGCGATGGAACAACAAGCACATCTTCGAGATGGTAGGCATTGTTTTAATAATATGAATGCTACTTCCATAGGCGTTTGGGAACCACATGGAAATGATATTTTCATCTTTTCAATAATATGAATGATATTTTCGCTTATTGGTTTATGATAGAATCCATGGGAGGTGAGGAGTTATAATTTTTACTTGTTGCTATTGGATGCAGCTTTGAATGAAGCACTGAGGGAAGAAGTACAACGGCTTAAGATAGCAACGGGTCAAATCCCAGCTGCCAATGGAAACCCCTTCAACAGAGCTCTACCTCCACAATTCTCTTCCCACCCACAGATGTTTCAGCAATTCGGTACCAATCAAACTCAGCAGCCCCGACAGCAACATCAGACGCCAAATGCTCAGCCCCAGCAGAGCTTCTCAGACTTCAATCAGAGAGTTCCGTAATATCCCAGAAATTTGTTAGCAATTATAATTCGGTGTTTGTGGGGAATTAGATAGCTCGTTGGAAGGTCGCATTCTGTATATATGAATGTGTTGTTGCAGATAAAAGTTGTGAAGGGTGTGATCAGTGCTTTGTATGAGTTATACAGATGGTGGGTATGTATGTACTCTCTTAGGATAGAAATCATATGCTTATAGAGTTATTAGATACTGGTGGAACATGTCATGAGTTATGGCTATTTGTACTTTTAAGAGAAAAATAATTTCTTTTATTTGAAATTCTGGTAAGAAGGTTGTTTTCTGGAGTTAGAATGATCTTCGTTGATCAAATGTACTAAATAGGTGATGGGCACTGTACAGAGAATTCTAATACAGGAAGTAAGCTCTATTTTGCCAACCAATGATTTAAAACCCGGACTGGACTGGCCAATCAGACCGGTGGAACTGGGACTTCGGCCTAGTTCTGGTCCGGAGGAAATCCAAAACTCGGACTAGGCTGAAAACCGACTTCGATTGTTAAAACTAGAAGAACCATTGGTTCAACTAGGAAAACTAGTTATGAAAAGACCTGGTGGGTGGAAAATTTTTAATTTTTTTTCTTTTCTTTTCTTCTTTCTTGTATATATGTATAGTTCTTCAAAATACTTAACTTGAAAACGAATTTGAAAATATAAAGTTACTGAGATAGTTATTTTTTTTGAGAATGAGCACTCAAATTTTTTCTGACCCTATCTTATTCTTGTCTGAAGAGGCTCTTTTATAGATGAAAAGAGTTACTGTGAGCCTTGTGAAGAGTTATTGTAAGCCTTGTGAATGAATCTGACTTTGAAAAAAGCACATGGGAGCTGTCTGCATCTTTCGGTGAGTGATTAAAGTTGATAGCTGCTTTTGACTGTGTTGAATTTGTCGGTTGGATGAATTATGATGAATGATGAATAGTAATGTTAACTTTCTTGATGAATAGTGAACAGTAAATTTGATTTTTTTCACTATTCATTGCTTTCGGTGGAGAAATGTGACTGAAGGAATCAATATAGATATATATATATACATATATATATATCAGTAGCTTTTCTCAAAAGAAGAGTATTAATTGAAGCTGATAAGTATGTCCATATAGAATCCAATGACTATGTCAGGCATATGGGTCCTGAGCATCTTCAAATTGGGATCCATAGGGATCCATAGGGGTTTTGATTAGTTGAGCCTTCAGAAGAGTCTGAATTTGAACCTTCTTCTGAACTTTCTTCATCGGATGACTTAGCTTTAGCCATGAGTAGACGGGCTATTTGGAGAAGTTCATCTTTGGAGGACTTGGACTTGACTTTGGGCTTATCCTTTGATTGATCAGTTTTGAGCTGTGCTGACTTGGATTTAACCTTTGACTTGGAAAAAGTCGATCCATTGAATTTACTTTTAAATTTCCTGATAAAATCTTAGATAAAATCCAGTTACAAAGATTGTTAGGATCCCTTAATTATATTGCTGAATTTTACAAAGACCTTAGGAAAACCTGTCAACCACTCTTTGATCAGTTAAAAGATAATCCTCTTTCTTGGTCTTCTACTCATACTGACATTGTTAAACAAGTCAAAAAATATGTCAAGTCTCTACCATGCCTTGATATTACTACTGAAAATTCCTTTGCAATTGTTCAAACTGATACTTCTGATATTAGTTATGGTGGTATTCTTCTCCAGAAAATCACTTCTCAGTCATCTGAACAGATTGTTCATTTTCATTCTGGTGTCTGGAATAAAGAACAAAAAAATTATAGTACTATTAAGTAAGAAATTTTATCTACTGTTTTATGTATTAGTAAATTTCAAGATGATATTTTAAATTAAAAATTTTTACTCCGTGTTGATTGCAAATCTGTTAAATATGTTTTAGAAAAAGATGTTAAAAATCTTGCTAGTAAGCAAAGCCAAGTTGCTATTGATTCGTGTTACTGCTTGAAGTGTTATTTTATTTAATCAACTCTGTTCATTTTCTCTACAATTGTTTGCAGTTCTCTTAATCTGTCAAAAACTTTATCTGTGTCTTTCCACTTTGTCACTAGCCACCCATCTTTCGTCTCAGGTCCTAGGTAAGTCCTTTGGTTAGGCAGTATTGGATACATAGGGGTTCTCCGGAATGGGCATGTGTGAACACATCGTATGTGAAAACATGATAAGTTTAGACAATATATTAAGCTCACTGCAAAAAATAAAAAAATGAAAAAATCAGTCGATTATTTAAAAGTAACTCTTCTGCCAGCTCTAGGTTAATAACACTACCCTCTATACTTAATTAAGTTCTAGTAATTAATGAAGAAGATGTAGAAATATAAAATGATAAAATTGATGTAAGTTGGAATATACCACAATTACCAATTAAAGAAATATATAAAACTACTTTTATGCAGTCAACATTTCATGTAAATCTTCATGTCAAAACCTTAGAACAAGTTTATGTTTTAAAATTTTGATTAAAAACTCTTATTTCAAGAGTCTCCTCTCATGAGGAGGAGTCTCATTGAAGTTTAAGGAGATTATGAAAGTCTATTGCTATTTATAGGAAAAGATTTTTGAGAGACAACTTACAAAATTTTATGTGGGACTTAATCAAATTATTTGAATCATATTGATTAGAGGGAGAGTTGAAAATTTCATTTCCTTCCAAAATTAAATCTAGCTTTAAATCAATTTGTTTGGAGGGAATGTTTTAATTTCTTTAAAACAAGTGATTTTTTCTTATCAATTATGACTTTATTAAATATTATTAATAAATATTATGCAACAATTTTTATTTTTATTTGAGTATTTATATATATTTTTATTTATTTATAATTTATTATTATATAATATTAATTATAACGTCACGTTTCGATCGCTTTGACCCGACAGTTGAACCAATGACCCGTCTATTTAGTCCTTTTCCTGTTTGCTCACCGGTCCGATTTTCAAAACATTATTGGCAACTTATTGTTTTAGTTGAAGATAAAAAAAAAAAAAGTTTATTCTCTCTATTTTTTTCTGCACATATATATATATTTTTTTGGTGTGAAAAAACTAAAGTTTTTAAAAAGTCAATTTCTAAAACAACCCTCCTAAATCTTAACCAGGGAATAAAATATATTTTCACAGAAACATGAAAAGCCCAAACCCTAACCCTATTTAATTATCTCATTTTCTCATCTTCTCATCGAACTCTCAGCAACCAGTGCAGTACGTTTTAGTTGAGTTCTTGTAACTTTTAATTTGTATAATACTTACATTCCGTTTTAGTAGTCATTCATTAGTTATATTAATGAAAGAATAATGTTTTAATATATTTTATTTTGATTGTCACTATATTCTTATATCATTTACATTATTAAAAAGGATATCAATATAATTATATTAAAATTATAAAGAGTTATTATATTTTTGTTACAAGTCATTATAATTTACCAAACATAAAATAAAAATAAAAAATATATTGGGGATTGTTTAGGGGTGAAAAAACATTAGACTGAGCCAGTACTATACGATATCGAGATTAATCTAGCCATCCTAAGTCTAGTCCTAAAGAATGTTAAAATTCAAAGTTTGGCTACTTCACCCAATATATAAGAATAGAAGATAGATACTGGCGGCGAATTTGAAAACTGATTGAAGTTATTGTGGCATGTTTATTCATTCAGTTAGCAATTGTATGGTCATTTTTAGAAATCAAAATTATCTGATAAAGCTTTTAAAAGCTGTTCTAAGTGAGGAAATTGGTCACCTCTGCATAACTTTTGCTGCACTACTTGGTTGCTTTATTTTGGCAATACAACTCTAAAGGTTGGTTCACTTTCAATGCATGATTATTGTATCACTGTTTGCTCACCTTGTATTTGAACATTCTCAATGATTAAGCAAAGTTATCTTCGTAGTTCCTGCTTCCTGGATATCCATTGACAATTATACAAATGATAGAACAGTGGAACATAAATATGGTTTTTCATCGGTAGAGCCTCACATGTAACTTGTATTTTTTTTTTTTATCTGTTACTTTGTGTGTGTGAATGTTGACTGTTTGAAATAGCTTTATGTCACTTTATTGACACCATTTATCAATATTTCATTGCAGTACCCTGATCCATACTTGAAGTATTATTATGGAGAATTTCCACGCCTTCCATTTAAAAGCTTTATGTCATTCTTATCCTCTCCTGAAAAGCTTTGATGATTTATGGCAAGCAACTTCCATTTAAAAGTATATCCCTATAACATAACATACATATTCCTATGCGAAGAAGGATGTAGTAATCAGCGATTATAGCAGAATTAAGTCAAAAAATTCTGTGTTCATCCAATGACGATACATATCGAAGAATAATTTTGTTATGCATTTTTGTAAGACAAATTTTTTGAATGGGAAAATTTGGTCACTTGAATATTTTATCACCCGCCCCGCGTCATAACAAGGCAAAATCCGGTTGTATACTAGTAATGGGCAAATGAGATCAGAAATGAACACAAACTAAATGATACAATTTGCAAATAATTCCAGTAACACAAATCAATTGCAGCTCAGAGATGTGTCATCTATTGAGCATCAATCAACAAGATGATGAATGTCAGAAATTTAAACCAGTAATTTGTTATATTATATCAGATTTTTTTTCCTTTTTCCTTTTTTTATTTTATTTTAAAGAACATTAGTTATATTTTCTTCTATTGTAAAGAAGAATTTCATTGATAACACTCAACAAATTGCAAAGATAACTAGATTTGGATATTGAGAAAAATGCATATCAAATTGAAGAGATCACTGGTGAACTTATTGTTCTGCTACAGAAATAATAGTAGAACCAACAAATAGCAGTTGCACTAAACCCTAAACCCCAATAGATATCACTTATGAAGAGCACAAACACAATTCTTACTCCCTATATCAGCTGCAAGACAAGGAGGTCTAACTTTCTCATCTTCATACCAAATCGAGCGCTTCTGAACTAATTCATTCAAGAATTCATCCAGCTTCTCAATGGTGACATTAGGCATCACAATAACATGAGCCATATTACCCTCGCATGCAAGTTGCCACCGCCGAACAAACTCCTCATCTAGAGGTCGCTCAAACACAACCGTGCTACTAAGCTCATTCAACATGGCACTAATACCTGCTTCCCTAAGGCTGTCTTTCAAATAGTGAGCATTTCTGAGGCACTTCTGGACTTCTTTCTGGAACCCCTTGTAACCTTTTCTGTTCAGGGTGTACCACAAAAAGATGGGAGCGTGGCCGTTCCGGCTTCCCATGATTGTGGCATCCCTTGAAGCGAGGTACTCGACATTCCTCGATAGGGCATTAATGTGCTCAATCCTTGTCAACTGGACACCGCATGGCATTGGACATCCCACAAACTTGTGGCCAGAAACACTCACACTTCCAATGGGCTTCTTGAAGCTTACCTTGGGAGCCTGTTCATCAATCCATCAACAAAGTGTAAGCAGCTAGAGAAGGAAACTAAGAACCAACATAATCCTATAATGTGGTGTATTAAATTGTGTAAAAGATTAGATTGATTACAAGAAGACTCAAAAGAGGGACAGAGTTGGGAGATAAACCTATTACGAAGAGACAGCTAATTAAATACATGTTCCCATCCTCAATAAGCAAGCCATGAATTAGGACCATAACCTTTTTTTTTTGAACTACTAATCAAATGATCTGGCAAGCTAGGAAGAAACAAATGAGGATCAAAATAAAATTACCAGGAAGGTTCTCAGTGAAGTTCATACAATTGGGATCACCAGTTTTCTAAATCACCATTAGTAAGATTTAGTGTGCGCGATATACTTGGACATTCCTCGACCTTTCTTGGTAATGGCTATAAAAAGATATGACTAGAAACTTCTCTACTCTACTGTGTAATGTGATACATTGTGATTTTGGGGAAAGTATAATATAGCCTATAGAAGCTATGTGCCCAGAGATTCCAGATAGATCTCCTTGAAAACTCAAATTCATGGGCCCAAAAGCCTTTCACATGAACAGGATATGAGAAGCGGAAACAAAAGCAAATAACTTACACGTTTGACAAATGGCATCATGAGTCCAAATAGAGCTCCATCACAATGGATGTAGAATCGATCATGTGAGAATCCACATTCTTCAAGGGTCTGTATAACAAGATCAAGATCATCAACCGCTCCTTTGACAGTAGTACCTGCAATACAACGAGATGTGAATCAATTTATGGAGAAGTTTTTTTTTTTTTGATCAGCAAAAGTCAATTGTTAATTGTTAGATTAGTACCTATGAGAGTTAGCCTCCCCACCCTTTGCAAAGCACCAAATGGTTGCCCCCTTAATTCAACTCCCCTAAGGAGAGTTAAACCCATGGACTTTAGGAAAGTCTTGGTGGCCAACTAGGCTAGGCCTAATTGATTAATTTACGGAGATGTTAATGGTGTAGACATGGGCTTCAATAGTGGCCAACTAGGCTAGGCCTAATTGATTAATTTACGGAGATGTTAATGGTGTAGACATGGGCTTCAATAGCCATGAATGTGCATGTCTTCATGTATCCGTTTGTGTGTGTGTGTGTGTGTGAGAGAGAGAGAGAGAGAGCGAGAGAGTAGCTACCTATGTTCACATTAATTATGGCTGGTTTGTCCTTGTTAGAGAGTAGCTTTGCTTTGAAATCTGCACAATTAATCTCCCCAGTGACAAAAGTGCCAACCTTAACGCATTCCATTCTGTACATCCGTGCTGCTTTGAAGACAGAGTAATGTGATTCTCGCGATGCATACAAAATTCCATCTGGAAACACTTCTCTCCTGCACAATCAAATTATGCATATGCTATAACAATTCTTAAACAGGCAGACAGTTCTCCAAAAATGAGAAACAAAGCTAGGATATACTAACCCAACCAGGATTCCATGAAGATTGCCTTCTGTGCCACAGTTTGTAATGTATCCCCAGTATTCGCTCTTCTCTATTTCCCATAGACGGGCAAACCAATCCAAAACACCCACTTCAAATTGTCTTGAATGAACACCATAGTTGCTTTCAATAAATGGATCGCCAAGGTTGTTTATGGAGAAATGCTGCAACTGTGCTAGAGCACCATAATCAAAGTCCAGATTATATGGGTAACCTGCAACATAATTTATCAACAAAAAGCCATAAGAAACCAATATATTTCAGGTAGGAATTGAGAAAGGACTTCAGAAGTACTGACCAGTTGTACAAATCTACAAGGCCATGGACTACACAACGTGCAACTTCTAATAAACTTATACAGGTATATAAAAGCAACAAAATGTATCTACAATATGTATCTAAAAAGCAGAACTAATATTAGAGAAGACCAAGGTTAATATGTGGAAGCTTTATATAGTAACTAGAGCAATGCTATATATCGCCTTTATTTATTTATTTTTATACTGTTCATATCATTTCCAAACAAGAACCACGATGAGTATCCAAATAGGCTTCCTGTGATACAAAACAATGACAAAAAAAATACCTGTTTTTTGGAAGGTAAGCATGTGAAAATCAAATGGTAACATACAAACAAGAAGGGGATAAAAAAGGTGACATATAGGCTATAGCATTTATGTAGTGAATATAAGAATAAACAATGCTTGATATTGAGGATCTCATATAGCTAGTGCAATCCACTCCGTAACAAATGACAAGAGGATATCGGAACTACAATTCCTCAAACTCAAATGCTGTAAACTGACCAGTGTTCCTGGCACCAATAAGGGTTTAGTTAGAGGTGTGGGCTGCACTCATACTCAAACTCATGTTCTCATGGCCCATGCCTCAGCTTTCACAATTGCATCAAGCAATAGCCCCCAAATTTGTACAAGTATAGATCAGAGGCGTAAACAGAAAAATTGGATACGAGTTTCTGAACATGTGTCTCATAAATACTTTTTATTAATTGTATCTACAAAAAATGTGCTGAGTACATATGAATGTCCCTAGTTCTAATGTCTTGCCTTACATTGAGATTGAATATTATGATGCAGTTTATTGGACAAAAATTTGGATATACACCGGCATCTGATCCTTGACAAGCTGTGAATTTGGTGATACATTTACACCAATGAAAAAACTAAACAGGAGATTCATATGCCCCATGTTGCAATTATGACTAAAAAATTGTTAATAATAATAATCATAAAAAGCAGTGTTACTATTTTTTGCTACAGGTCAGTAGAAAATGTTAAAATAAGTTGAAAAAACAAATAAGCTGAAAATTTCAAAAGTTCTAACCAACAACAAACATACAACATTTAAAATAAAACCACATTAACATCAAGCTTACAAATCTGCAAAAGGGTTTTTTTACCTAACGTGGGTGACTAAATTCAGATAAACATAACCAACCTAATTCACATAAAATCAAAATCCAGTCTTTTGGTACTATTGATTCATAATCTATTGTATTCAAGGTTTTAAAAAGCGGCCGCAACTGTTACGTAACGCCGTTACGTAACGGTTTTGGTGGTTACCGCCACCCGTTACGGCCGCTTTTGCAGTGTGATTGAGATTCACAGGTGTGTTAGCAGTAGCGGTTGTAACGGTGCCGTAACGGCCTATTACGCATCGTTACGTAACGGTTCCGAACTGTTTCTTTCTAAAAAACACACAAAAAAAAGCTGAGAATGGGAGAAGAGGGATAGAGAGAAGAGGAAAGATAAAGAAAGAAAATGGAGGAGCAAGAGATAGAGAGAGAAGAGGGAAGATGAAGAACATGTTATTGATTTGTTAAAACTGTAAAACCTATGATATTCTATTCAACTGCTATCACTCAACCATTTTGTTTGTGTGTCTCTATCTATATATTGTTTGAAAATAATAATAATAATAATAATAATAATAATAATAATAATAATAATAATAATAATAAGACTATTATTACTGATTTATTGAAGTTGTAAGACCTATGCTATTCTATTCAGCTGCTATCACTCAACCATTTTGAATAATAATAATAATAATAATAATAATAATAATAATAATAATAATAATAATAATAATAATAATAATAAGTGTGGTCATTATCTATTTGGCTTGGTTAAAATATGTATATATTCTCTTACTTTTGTCATTATTTATCTTATATATAATAGTTAGTGATTGATTTTTTGTATAATATAAAGTCATTAATTATTAAAATAAAATGTAAAAAACTCAGTTTATAGTAATTAAAAATATGAAATATATTGGATTATACTTAAAAATTTACAAAAATTGATCAATATTTATTTTAAACCCAATAAATATAATCATATAAAAAAAATATACGTATCGGTAAGTTTTTTTCAAATTGTGCGAAAAATAAAAAAATTCACAGTTCCGGCTACCGCAACCGTTACGCTACGGCTTTTACACCCCGCAACCGCGCCACCGCCACCGTTATAGTGATCGCAACCGTTTTTCAGAACCTTGATTGTATTACATAAAGTTTACATTCTATATCGTGTGAACAATGTCGCATTTTTAAATTTTCCAATAATGCACTTCACATCCAATTAACTGCTAAAAGGTTTTTTGAGTTTAAACGGTTTCCTCGTTCATCAAGTAGTCCAAAAAAGTAAATTCATAATCACAAAAGAAACCCAAGAAATAATAGAAGTAGGTTGTTCAAACTGTCTAGAACAAAATGTCCGGCAATAAATAAATAAAAATCAATGCAAATGTTCAATTTCACAAATGAGAGATCTATCCTCCATTGCGCTTATGGATTGAATTGTCACAATTATGATATTTTAGCCAACTCTGGCTTAGGTGAGGCAACTATTACTGAAAATAACACGGTTCATATCTTTTTCCTACACCTATTTCTGAAGTTTGCCTCCATTTTCTGGGCAACCAAACAGAGCATTAAAAAAAAATGAAAAAAAAAAGAAAAAGAAACCAGTTGATGGCTTACCTAAATGATATTTGGTCCTCTCAATGAGGGTTTTGCGATACCTAGCCAAGATACTGGCCATGAAGGCCTCCATATCGCCGGTGGACTCATCGTCCGCATCAGGCTCCGTGATGGTGAGGCACGTAGTGTGCACGTTCCTCCCTAGAACAATCTCTCTCTCCTCCTTTTTCTCTCCGTTGGAAGCCACAACCGGAGGCAACGGTTCCGCAGGGACGGCCGTGGGATCGAAGCCCTTCGACAACAGCTCGATCTTTCCGGCGTTGGATAGCACCGACACTGATTCAGCTTCTACTGTCCCTACCATGACGATCCTTCTAGATGAGCAAATTTCACAGATCTGAAATTAGATATTAGATCTTGTGGTTTGGAGAAGTAGAGAGGAGAGCAGAGTCGAAGCGTTTGAGAAAAAGAGATGGGAAAGAGGAGCGTGTGAAATGGTGTTTTTTTATAGACGACTGCCGCGAATGTTGGAGGTGTCCGGGTATTTTCCCTACGACTACGAATCAAGAAGCTTCCCTCCACTTCACCTTTTCATCTAAAATCGTTTAATTTATATCAAATTATTTTCTCTTGCGGTCCTAAAATAATAGTTTATTTTTAAAAAAATTAATTTTTTTAATAGTATAATTATTATATTTTAAAAATATTAATTTTTAAATTTATTATTTTTTGATAATATATTTTTTAAAAATATTAATTATCATAATTATACTTTTTGTAATATTAATAAATTTAAAAGAATGGTAAAATAGAAAATTCATATTATTTTATTCATTAATTTTTGAAAAAATGACTAATATTTTGACATAATGAAAAGAGAATAAAGAATTAATATTTTGGGACAGAGGAAGTATCAAATATTAATATATTTATTAACAATATTACTAATATACTCACAAATTTGAATATGATGAACCACATCAATTTATGAGTGTTTTAATAAGACTGTTAGTATCCTTAGCATTATTCATTATTTATACACAAAAAACAAAAAAACAAAATGAAAAAAATCTGGATTATATGCACTTTGGTTATGATAATGGGAGGTTAGTTATTACCCATTCTAATAATACTTATAACATTATTTTGGTTATAAATAATTCAATAGCTTTTTGAGTTATGATATTTATATATTTTTAGTATTGTGAGATTATTTATTTGGAAAATGCTATGGTATGCAAATTATGACATTTGTAGTCTACAAATGTCATAATTTGCATACCATAGTGTTCGATGGGCATGGCCACATGGCCCAAGATAGCCCAACCCACAACTGTCTTGGACGGCCCAAGTAGGCATTTAGTTACAGTTTAGTGGGTGAAACTCAACAGTAGGCCCACCAAGAAACCCACATTGGTCTAGACCCTTTGACACTTAGACATCTGGTAGGCAAGGAGCTAGCCACGTGGCAGACAAAGATTCTGTAGAGTTATTGAGCCCAAGCATCGGGCATTAAATGAGGATGTTATGGCATTAAATGCAATAAGACCTCTCGTCCCTGGGTATAGTGAAATTGTCATGGCCAACGACAAGTAGACCCTAGACTTTTAGCCAATAAGACAACTTGAATAGATAAGGAAATGATGGAGAAAAAGATATAAGGAAGCTCAGAAGAACATTAACAAGGAATACTCTCTCTCTCTCTCTCTCTCTCTCTCTCTCTCTCTCTCTCTCTCTAATTACTCTCTCGATCACTTCCAATCTAATTTGATCACTAGAGGGTCAACGAGGAGAAACCACCCCAATCTCGGTGCCTTCCTACCAGACCTTTTGCAGTCACGTAGTAAGAAGACGAAGGTTAGCAGATTTGTAGAACACGTAGATCAGTCCGACCCATCCTCCATTGACCATATTACAGTATCAGTATTATCTAAATAAATAATATCACAATACCAGAAACATAATCTATTTGTATTTGTATAAATATATATATATATATATTTTTAAAATAAAACTTGATGCATCTCATAAGAATGTGTTTGGTATGCCCCTTTACATATCATAATTTTCATCACTAAATTCATAACTTTTATTATAAATTTTTTTTTTGGGATGTGCACCTTGTAGGAATGAACATTGTGGTATTTTTCTTCATGTTTTTGAAGGGAAATGTAATTTGATCAAGTTAATTATTATTATTATTATTTTTTTTTGTATGAATGATCTGTTTCAAGGGAAATTATTTAATAATTCAGGAACACTACGTGATCATATTTCAAGTCAATCACTAATTACTTAGTCTCATGTTGTTCCTCTATTTCCAATATAAATCGTGGGCTCCTGTGTGGGTGATTTTCCGACCACACTGCCCGCTTAGTAACCAGCTGGAGAGCACTGGCAGAATAGATGGCACCTGACTGACCTGTAACAGAAATATAAGAATCCCGCGGTGGTTTCGACCACCCGGGGGCACTCCGACGATCAAGTCAGTATATCTCTCAAAGATAAATCAAGTACTAAACTCACAAGCTTGAGTATCAAAAGCATACCTTAGACCCATGGGGGTGCCTCTCTTTTATAGCCAATACAATCCTAGTCCCAAAAGGAATACTCAAGTTAATTATTATTATTATTATTTTTTTTGTATGAATGATCTGTTTCAAGGGAAATTATTTAATAATTCAGGAACACTACGTGATCATATTTCAAGTCAATCACTAATTACTTAGTCTCATGTTGTTCCTCTATTTCCAATATAAATCGTGGGCTCCTATCCCTCTCTACCAATCAAAATCTTATAAAGCACCACGTGTCCATACTCCGAAAATACTAAATAATTACCCCTATTTCACATGCCTTATAAATTGAATAATTTAAATTATCAAAATAAATTCAAAGTGAGCTTGTAATTGTATAAACTAGACTTTTCCATAAAAGAGTGGATTGAATGGAAGTTTGATTCTTTGTCGATAATTTTGTGTGATGTGTTCTTTAAACACTAACAAAGTGACAAAATTATTAAGTAATTATAGGGTACAGTTCACGTAATTTTTTTTGACAAATAATGAATCCCAAAATGTATTATGTCGATTGTTTTCTTATTTTTCAGGTATTTAATAGATAAAGATGATTTCTTTTATATTGAAATAATAAAAATAAAATAAAAACATTACTTGTCCAAATACAAATAAATAAATAATTTTTTTTTTCTTATCTGAATGTCCCAAAAAATAGGTGTGCAAAAATAATGAATTTTAAATAAAATGGCTACAAATAAAAAATATTATTTAAATATAGAAGACCCCTTCTCAAATTTTGGCCAAAGATAATATTAAGCTACCTTGTCGACCATTTCGAACAAAGGACACGTGGAGGATGTCACGACATTTTTATAAATAAAGTGGGATCTGTATAAATAAATTAATTAATAAAAAATATTTAAAAAGAAAAGAAAAAGACAAGTCGATTATCCATTATCTTTCAACAATTGTCTCCGTCACATTAATTTGCATTGCAAAGAAGATATTTCTTTTAGAAAGGTAAAGAAGATATTTTTAAAAAGAATAAATTACATTCCATCCCTTTTATATTTGGTTATTTTCTTAACGTGGCTTTGGAATTTTTTTTTCTCATTTTGATGTTTTATATTTCAAATTTTTCTTCAATTTAATTTTAAATCTAATTTTTATTCAAAATTAAATAAAAAATGTCACCTTATTATATTATAATTTGAATTTATCTGTAGTGTGAATTATATATAATAAAATATTTTTATAACACATAACTATTAATGTATTATTTTCTATTTAATTTTAAACATAAATTAATTTTAAAAAAAAATTAAAAAACTTGAAATATAAAAGATAAAGTGATTTTTTTTTAAATTAAAATAAAAAAATAATCAAACATAAAAAGACAGAGCGTGACCCTTTTAAAAAACATGTGTTTTTCTGACTAAAGAGAGCTACGCGGAACCTCCTTGGATAAAGTTGAATTTTCACTATTGTCACAATAATGTTATTTATGTTTATAATGAAAAAAACTAAAAATATAATTTTTGTGTAAACAAGACCCGAGTTTGCCAAAAACTATAAATAAAATGTTTTTTTTTTTTATTTCACAAGATAGCGGTTAATATATTACTAATTAGCTCAAAATCTCACCCACTTTGACATTTAAATGTCCTTTCCGTAATCACTTAAGCAATTGTCCGGGATCAAACTAAAAATCAAATGTTACAAACAGATATTGGTTGGATATTAATTATCACTATAATAAATTAAGGATTATAGGCAAAAATTTAGAAGCGAAATCACTTTTTAAGGATAAAATATCTTAATTATCAAAAATATAATTGTACTTATTACTGGTGAAATTAGACATTTAATAATGAATTAGTATGATTTTGTGATCAAAATGTTTGTCTAAAAAAATAACCTTTATTGATTTTGTTTCTAAAAATACATTTATTAACGACATATTTAAAATTTTGTAGATGTCTTTGTATTAACTTTTTCGAATGATTTTTTCATGAAGATTAGAGTGGGTATTCTAATTTTTATTTATTTATTTATTTTTATGGAAAAGCACAAGGTTTAATATATTGTATATTTGACAATAAATCATCCAATAAAGTATATCAAAATATAAAATAGATCCCAAAAGAGATAAAAAGAACATCCATGTATGGAGGATACGAGTTCCACATAGAGAGGAAAAAAAAAACCCTTCGCTTAGGGAGAAAAAAACCTCCATAAAAAGAGAAAACCTCTACATAGAGAAAATATTATTGCAACACAAAATAATAGTAATAATAATAAGGGAAAATTACAAAAAAAAAAACCCAAGGCTTCGTGTGTTTTTCAACTTAAACCCCATTGTTTCAATTTTGACAAATTAAAACCTGAAGTTTTTTCCATGTTTCAATGTGAACCCTCCGTCTATATCTGTTTGATTGAATTAACAAAATCTAGGTAAAATTCTCAGAGTTAAGCACATATATTCAAACACTTGTATCTCTCTCGTCGTAACTCCGTTTTGCCTTATTTTTGCACCGTTGAATTCACCTCGTTGCTTAGTTTTCATTCTATTTCTCATATGCCTTGTTCCATCTCTTTTTGTGTGCCGTTGGAGCTCTGAAAGCTGGCAAAATATAAGATTTTTCTCTCTTTTGGCAAAATTTTCAAATTCAAACACACATGTTCAAGCACTTGTATCTCCTTCGTCATAACTCCGTTTTGCCTCATTTTTGCGTCTTTGGATTCACCTCATGGCCTAGTTTTCGTTTCACCCCTCATAAGCCTTGTTCCACCTCTTTTTGCATACTATCGGAGCTCCGAAAGTTGGTCAAAAATAAGATTTTTC